AAAAAAAAAACGGGTTGGGTTATTTCAAAGACTTCCTCTTAATCTTGTTATTATATCCTCATCCAACACAACCCATATATATAGGAGAAATTTTAAAAAATGCCACTTTTCAAGTGCCACTTTATAAAAATGTCACGCTTTTGAAATCTTTACAAAAATACCATTTTTTCAAAAAAAAAATTTTTATATTATTTATGGTTGAGTTAATTATGTTCTATTAGGGTTTAGTTTTGAATGTTTAGGGGTTTTAGGTGTTAAAACATTTTTTAGGGTCTAGAATTTTAAATATAGACTTTATAAATCTATAATTAGTGGCATTTTTGTAAATAGATACCTCTAAGTGGCATTCTTTTAAATGTGCACACAAAAACGGTAAATTCTCCTATATATAGAGGTTTTGAGTCCGCAGTAGTTTTCTTCATAAGGAAAAAATGATTATTATAACAAGTAAGTGGATAATCATTATCTACTAAATAGATAATTATCTGATAATTATCTAATTTACAACAGAATAAATAATTTTTTAATTCTTTAGAACCCTTTTAATACTAAATTAGATTTAAGAACTCTTAAGGGTATCATTGTAAATCATGTTCCAATTTTGTCTGTGTTCTTGCAAGAAGTTGAATAAATCTGTGTAGTCACTATTATTCTCCAACTGATCATACACTTTTGTAACATAACCAAACTCTCGCCCATAAATATGACTTGCACATGCTGCTTTGTAACTCATCATCTTCATCGTCTCGAAATCTCCTGTCAAGATCAAAATTTACAAAGGATTAGAAAGAAAAAACAAATATGGATATTGAGAATATGAAATGAGTTTTTCAAAAGAATTTTGTTTTTCCGTTGTAGAAAATGAGGTATATATACCGTTTTCGGTCTTTTTTATTTCTGTCTCGAGCATTTCCGGGGAGAAATGACGGTGTAGCCACCATTTAGCTCGAAGGGTCCACGATGAATTGGTGAACATTTTAGGTGTCGGGTTGTATCGAACAGAATATGTTTGTTGTTGATTCTCTTCTTCTCCATTTCTGTTGAGGCATACCGACATTCGGTCTTCATCAAGATTCTCAAAGAAGTAAATGAAGCAAGAGGCAAACTCTTCCCAGATTTCGGGGTCGGGAAAAGAAGCTTCTACATGCAATGCTATCATTTCGATTAGCGACTCTCTGCTATACCCATCTGCAAATAAAGTAAAAACAAACGGTATTAGAGACTGACTAAGGCAGGAGTCAAAGTATTAAGACTAAAAAGGTGTTTGATGGGTTGATCTTAAACACCTTCTTTTGACATTTCAATAAGCTTCTTCAGGGTAGTTACACAAGTAGGATCAATCATTAAGATATCTTCATAGGATTTTGTGAGCATGTCGCTGTTAGGATGAAACCTCTCCATCATAAGGGCCTTAATCCTACAATTGAGCAAAACGAACCAAAACCCACTTCAGAAACTCCTCTGTTTTCYTATTCTAACTTCATAAACTAAGGCGGGCACTGGTAACTAAAATAAACTAGAGACTGAGAGAGATCTTTTTGTACCTGAAAGGTTTTATGTCATGTACTTTGTCGCACATCTCCTCGACCACTTTCATAGCTTCATCTACATTTCCTCCAATTAACAGAAGCTAGAAGGGAGTTTAAGAGAAAAATCTAATCAGCGTGAGACATTAAAGCTTTACAGGAGGAAACATTGTGAGCTACTAACACAAAAATGGTTACATCAGTTCTTACCTGTATAAGTGGATGTAATGAAGCTAAAGATGCATAACTCGGAGACTGGAGAGTAAGCCGCATATATCTCACTGCTTCTTTATAATAAAAATCATTGACCATCTTTACATAGCAATCAGGATCTTCTGGTGGTTTCAAAGGAAGCAACCATGGATCCATGTCGCCTAACATATAACAATTTGAAGTCAGAAAATTGATAGATGTGGTGTTAGCAAAATGTGAGTTAACGAAATTTCTCGGTACTAACCAAGAATTTTGACAAGAGCGGGATCAAATGTACGAGCAACTCCATTTTCCAAAGACACTTCGTTTTCTTCAGAGCTGGCGTAGAGTCGTGGTGGATTGTTATAATGCTGAGAACTCTCCAGTTTTACCTTCTTCATAACCATCCCCGACCCCAAGTCACTGATGGACATATGAGAAACTCTTTTACAATTCATGACAGAAGACTCTGACTCGTTTCTAACAGAACCCTCCGACTCCACAGAGTACACCGACTCGTCCCTGACTGAATACTCAACCAGATGATCAGATCTTGATTCCGACATATTGGATATGCTTTCGCCGCAGTCCTCATCTTCAGGCTGTAACTCCTTCGAGAATTTAGAACACCACAACTTGTAGAATGTGATTCCTATATATAGATTGGACCGTGGAAGCATTCCAAAATCACGGTTCTGCATCAAGCTACCAAAAGAAGAAGAGAAAATCATCAAAACTAATTCAAGCAAGAACCGTAGCAAACCACCCTCACGTAGAGGAAGGAATTACGCATTGGTGAATAAAGATTCGACTACCTCGGGATAGAATAACTATCAGAATCAACCTATAGAAATCTTGACATACTTAAACAAACTAGTTCAAGAAGATACCAAATTGTACCTTATAACAGCACTATAAGCATCACCATTCATCCCATGCTCGATAAAATGACAAATTTGTTCAAACCAAACCAAGAGCCTCTCCTGTCCAAAATAACTCAATGTTAGCTTTCTAGGCTTAGAACAAATACTCAATGAGCTAAACAATGACAAATCTTTTAAAAGGAAACCTCTTTATGTTGTTTACCAATCTTCCCAATCCAAGTATCATATATCTTCCCAATCTCATCAGCTTTGTTTCTATTAGGTTGCAAGTGACTCACAATCTGTATCTGAGCCTGCAAA